TAACCAATGATGAGAAAGAATAGATTCATCTAAGACCTGTCACTCCTCGAGCAGTTTTTCTCCTTCACTTTCAGGGCTGCGTTTATGTATGCACACGTGTGTGTCATATTTGCAGGAAGCCTTCCACATTAAACTCTCATTTCTCCTCCAAAGCCATTTCTCTGGCATGCATTAAGCAGCAGCCCGAGTGAACGCTGCAGCCCTAATTAGTTTGCAAACTACACAGCTCACCTCTGAGGGCGAGCAAAGCCCGTGTAAATTAGAGGGAATTGGATCAGAGCATCCCAGGAACAGCTCTCCAGATCAGTGCTGCTGGAGCGTGCCACCTCAGAAGCTGCTGTCACCTTCCAGTAATAACTTACAAGTAAACCTCACTGACAATAGCAGGGAATTGAGAGATACAGAAACACTTTGCAGCTCAATATTCCATGATGGGTTATTTTTCACAACACAGAGAAGCCCATTTGGTCGTCTACTAAAAGGAAAAGTCCCTGTTTGTCATGCGTCTCCCCACCTCATGTGCTCCAAGGGTGAATTCACTGTTACAGCCATGCAGCCAAGGCTGGTCCATGGGGTCTGCAGACCCCGATGCTGCAGAACCCTCCTGCCTGCTCTGATGGGGATGTCCCAGGGTTTACTCAGTAACTGAATAATCTAAAATTTTCCTTCCTGTCCTTGTGGACTAATCTGTGATAGTGTTAAGGGACTGTTAGGATATTAATTAAATACAAGTCCTGCATACAAAATTGATACTCTGCATCTCCATCTCCACAGGGAAGTTTCTCTCATAATAAGACTTAAATCAAGTTTTCCTTTTCTTTTTTTTTCCTAAGGAATTTATAAAGATGCTCATATTGCACTGAGGTAACATACATCTGCATATGGGAGAACAAGCCATGTCAAATATGTGAGCCCTGGCTCATTCCTCTTGTCCCCTGATCTCTCCCATCTGAAATTAGTGGTGTCAGACTAAATCAAGGCTGATGGATGAGCTGGGGCTGCTGGTGCTGGTCACTGCTCCACTGGCAGAGCCAGTCCCATTCACACTCGGTGCTGGAATGGGAGCATCCCTGTGCTGCAGCTGCTAAAGCTGATGGATTTCTCTGGAGCACCAGGCTCCTGGCAGTCCTTCTGCAGTCACATCATGGGTAGTGGTGCTCAAGCTGAGAGAGGACCCAGGTTTGGGAGAACCCTTGTCCCCAACTGTTGTTCAGCACTGGGGTTGGAGAGACAGGAAGATCCTCAATTTAGGATAAAGAGCAACAGAATCAGCCCTGACCTTCCCAACCACAGACGACAAGAGGGAAATTCACTATAAAAGTAAGACCTCACTTCACTTTTAGCTGCCATTAACTATGAACCCATTCAGAGGCACATGGAAAGGTTCACCCAACAAGATCAGCTGAGCCAACCGGCTGCCGCCGGGGCAGCACCATCCCAAATGACGTTAAAGCCATTCCAACATCCCCATCACTATTATTTATTAGTTAAAAGTTTTAATTATGTGACTTGATGAGGAACACATCACCAGGGATCCTAATTAATTGGGATTTTTAAAAGGATCACGGACTGGAGATTTTGAATGGATTCCACAAAGAATTGCACAGAGGTATATTAAGGGAAAGGCCAAATTAACTTCTCCTTCCTGGTTTATCCAGCATTTTCTAACAGGATTGTGCATCAGATTAACCAAGTAATATCCAAACCCCTCATGCACAGGGATGCTAACCAAGACAACAGCTTGAGGATTTTAGGCAGTTATCATTTAATGTCCGCTTTGTTAATTAGTTTATTCCTCTTAATCCTCACTTAAATGACTGTATTCCTATTCAAATTAGTTTATTCCTTATTTATGTCCTAAATTTGCTTTAGCTGCATTGTCCATGCTCATTTAATTCTTCAACACAGTACTGCTAAACACCAATATCTCCAAGCATCTGGTGGAAACTTTTTGTTCCAAAATGGGTGTTCTTCCTGACCCAAAACTGGGGAAGATGCAGCAATATCCCACTGATGATGCTCGGGAAGTGTTTGATTGTTGAACCTGCAAGCACAAGTCCCTCTTCAGAACTGGCTGGTCAGTAGCTTCATGGGCCAACAACGTGTTTCTCCTCCTTGCCTGTGAGCTGCAGCTTCCAAAGCTGTTTGGATGCTGTCGATGCTCTTGGCTCTCGGCTCTGCAAGTATTTTTCCATCAGTGCCACAATGATACCTATTTATCTTCTGGCTGCAGGAGCGGCGGAGATGACCTGGCAGTGCCACAAGGCAGACAGTTATTTCATGCCCTGTTAAACCCTAATGTGGCTAACTACACTATCACTCCAGCTCTGAAAAAAGCCTTTTTCTATTATTTTAAATCTGATCTGTTGCCTGTGTGTCCAAGTAAAGAACATCGCTTCCTATTAGGATGATATCAGAAAGATAACCCCATGAGGCTATCTGTGAAGTAGCACGGTACTGATCGAGTCACTCGTGTAGAAGGTCACAAATACATAATTCTGCCTGAGTAAGAGCTCCACTGCTTTCCCTCCAGCCTTTGGGAAACAAGGGCAGGCTTGCAGGCACACTCAGCACAAGAGTACGGACCCAATGCCTTCAGACCCAGGTTTATGCAGGAGGTACATATTAGACCCAAATCTCTACTTGCCTGTCCCTGCTGGTTTCTCTTCTGCTGCCTTTGCACACCTCAGGTATGACAACCTGAATCACTGGTTCCTTTGTATGCTCTGATACCCAAGGAAAATAAACCCATCAATGTCTTTTCAGCATGCAGATGATCTATCCAGGTTTTGATAACCCTTAGTGGCAGTTAACACACAGATCCACACAGGAGCTGTGTTCCTCCACTGAAAACTGCCCTTCGCTGTTCAGTGCTGGCTCAGGAGCTGGGTTAGTGCTGCAAGACTGTCAGCTCCAGAGCTGGCTGCATCCCACATCCACCAAAGCCAGGAGGCTCAGAGCGGGCTCTGTTTGGCTTCTCAGAGGGAAGATTGAGGGAGGACTTGATGAGAGGGTGTAAGTACCTCCTCAGAGATAAAACACCAGGGACTAGAGGGCTCTTAAGCTGAAGAAAAACGCAAGAATGAATGGCCAAACACGGGTACATCACAGAGCAAGTACCTGGACACTTATTTTCTTAAGTGGCGAATGCGATCAGCCAGAGGAGGAAACCCTGAGCGCTGTGCAGAGGCTCTCCAGCCCCAGTATCTTCAACTGCAGATTGCTTACCTTCCCCAAGACACACTTCAATAACACAGAAATTACTGGGCTCAGCGCAGGGCTATTTGAGCTCAAAGTGATGGCCACACGCATGGGCAGGCACTAGATCTAGGGGCTGATGGCTCCAGCTTTGACAAAACAGGCCAGAAAGTCTTTATCTTATCACGTGCAGTGGCCAGTGGTCACTAACAACCCCCTCCAGTTCAGTCCTGCAGTGCAGGCTTTGGTATTCTGCATCATTAAGGTTCACAGGAGTTAATGAAATCACGCTCTGCAAACCCGAAACAAAACAATGCACAATTCCTATTCTGCTGCCTTCTTCTGGGTTTGGGGTTTTTTTTTGTGCTTGTCATAATAAAACATTGTTATTGGATGTAAAAATTATGGAACAAAGTTATGCCTCTCTGGTGTAATATAATGCAATCCATTTAATACTATTTTAAACCCCAAAACCTCATTAAAGCAGACAGAACGTAAGAATGACAAATTGCCCAGGAGGAAGTTGGAGCCTGAGGTGGATTCCAGGCACTTGGCCGCTTCCCATTCCCGGTGATGCTGCACAGGCATCGAACCCCAGTGCGGTACCCATCACCATAAGGGTTAATGCAATGCAAACCATCTGCCAAGACAAGCCAGGGGTGAGGCTGGAAAGCTCAGCTTAGCCCTAAGTCCAGCCTGAAGGCTGCTGGATGCACCTCGAGATCCAGGTTAAGCTTTGCCTGTGACTGAACACCACTGTTCTATGCTATGCTCTGTGCTACGACCATGTACCCGTGTGCTGCCTCCTGTCCATGGTGGTGCTGTGGCTATCAACACAGCTTATACAAGTGTCTACCCTCATGGCTTCACTATTAGCTTGCTGAAACCAGAGTATGTTTTGATGACACAGCCACCATTACACATTTTAAAACCCTGTTATCATTCTGACCCCGGATTCAGTATCAAATGCAGGAATGCAGTCCTACTGCCTTAGTAACTAAGCGAGGCAAAGCTCTGCAGTTGGGCTTCTATCAGAAAATGTAGTTCCCATTGAATAAAATATTGAAGAAGTTAAGTAAATGTGCTTCTTATCCGCATCGGTGCAGACCTTTAACACCAGAAGTGATCAGAGCACTCAAACAGCTCTTTCCTCACACAGAAGGAGTTTAAGGAAGAACGATAGTGTCAAACAGGACATTTTAGAACAAAAAGGCTCATTCCAAAACCCCTGTCAGGTGAATCACCCATCCGAATCCCTCTGAATGAATACACACCATGGGGAGAGCAACAGCCTCCTTCCAAACAGTTCTTGAACCAGAGTCTGATTCTGGTATGAATTCAACATCAATTCAACTTCTGCACAGTGTAGGGCCAACACTTCACAACCATAAGGAAAACCATGGCAATCACTACCAAAAACTAACTGTGAAAATCTATACATAGTTTACACAGTATAAAACATGAATAATAATAAAGCATCTTAGCAACACACACCCCCCCCAAAATGTTTGGTCACCCAAAGTACCTGCTACAGCCAGCACATGTTCTGCCAGAAGCTGCTTGGGGTGAAGACACCTCCATGTCTGTCTTCCATGCTGCAGCTGCACAACCTCATGACGCCCAGAGAGCAGCAACACACTCAAGTGTGAAGCCATCTTCAGGTTCTGACCAAAGCAGTAACAAGGGACATGTGTGGAAGCTGGAATTCAGCGCATTCCTGAACGTGTGGATAGCCCCATCGTGTCGTGTTTTGGGCAGCCCAACCCAGCCACCACCCAAACCATCCCCAGCTGGTTTCCTACCTCCACTCCTTGGACTTTCAGCTTCATGTGATCCTCTCTGGTGGTTTTCCCATCTTTCCTTTTTTTCCAGCAATACCCATCTTTCCTGTATTTCACCTTCTTCCTATTGTACAGGATCATAGAACCATTCTGCGGTCTGAAAACAAGAAACAGGTTTGGATTACTTAAAGAAAACAAACACCCTAAGAGAGTTCATGAAGCAAAGTGCTAGAGGCCAGTGGAAGTCTCCAGGGAAAAGCAATAGCCTGTATTTGGTGCGATAGAAACATTCACTTTTTGCTGCTGGGATAACGGATGCTTTGCAATCTGCAAGATTTCACTTGAGAACCTTGTAGCTAATGAAGGAAGTGTGCCAGGTTTCAAGAAAAGAGGGAATCTTGTCAAGAGCAAGCCAGCATTTTCACAGGATTTATTGTGATCGGGCTCAGCTAAATGCTGAAAAGCAGAAGGGAAGTTAAGGAAGAAAGGGTTGTTGTTAATTTTGCATAGGCAATTTCTCTCCCTCCAGCCAATTCCTGGGATAACAAAGGAAGGGCAATAGCATTTCAAATCTATTTGCAAGGAGACAAGAAAGGGGTTGCTGCTGTAACAAAAAAAGGCAGCAAACTACAGCAAAGGAACCGGGAGGAGGAGAATGGCGCAAACCCTAGGATGTGACCCCCCAGCAGCAGGGGAGACACGTACTTTGCCTTGCTCATGTACAATAATTCACTCTATTTATCCAGTTCAGGCTGGGAACACCAAAAGGCAAATCACAACAACAAAGCACAATCACTGCTGCTGCCCCATCCACACGGCACCCCAAAATCCCCATGAGCCTGGGTGTGACAGTGGGGACCTGCCCTTGCCCAGGCACATCACTTGTCCCCTCCAAATGATGCTCAGGAGCCCCAGGCAAGGGCAGCTCTTGGCACCAGCAGTGCAGTTATTGCTGGTCCCACTGTGTGGAGCTTGCAGGATGGTGCACTGCTTACAGACCCAAGTAGGCAGCAACCTTACAATGCTGAATTTCCTTTTTTATGAGCCTGTGGCATTTAAAAGCTGCCTGATCTCTATTTAGGTTCCTTGCATGTGGCCTGGGGGAAGGATGGGAAAGGACAAGAAGAGTAATTGCAAAGCAGAAAGCCTTTTGTCTTAAGTATTGATGAGAGTTGTGATGCTTCCCTGCCTCTCCCCTGTTATTTACCACGGCAGCTCTCACAAACAGCCACAACAGCATAAGGGCTATTTTTGCCCGAATTGTTCCTGCTACAGCCAGGAAGAGGATGCTAAATTCCATTTTCAGACTAATTGTTAAAGTGAACAAGCACACTGGTGGGAGCTGCTCCTGCCTGGGGCTGCCCAGGCTCTGAGGATGCTCACCTCCAGCTCCGGACCCATCCCAGCCACTCTCATAGGAACTAACACAAAACAAGTTAAGATCAGGACATTTTGGTCAACTGATGCTTTGTATCTGCCTCTCCATTGTGCTCATCAAGTCCCCTTGGCCTGAACGACCGAGCTCTTCCCTTAATCTCGTTACTGCAGTATTAATAAGGCAGTTCAGTGCAACTGGCTCCTTCTGAATTGTCCCAGCAAGATTTGGTAAATGTCAGATGTATCATTTAATGAAAGCTATGATTTACAGCCTGGGGAGCCTGGCTTGCCAAAAGGGAATTGCAAATACTGCAAAGCCAAAAGCAACTCTTTTTTTTCCAGGACAATGGAATAAGACCAGCCAGAACCCTTCCCTGAGAAGGTCCATGGCTCTAAAATTCACCTTTTATCTTACCACTTATGCTGGAGCATAAGCTTACGGTCGGGATTATGGTGGGTTTTATCCTGCGTGACTGTTAGCTTGGTTTTCTCTGGCTGCAAAGTTACCACAGGGTCAGGAGACAGCAAGAAGAGGTTACCTCCCATCTTCTGAGTCTATGCATGGCCATAACGAGAAATCAACTTCCACTCCCCCAAAGGAGCAACCAACTGATGCAGAAAACTGGCTGGAGTCTTGAAGGAAACCCTTAAAGGCTGACAGAGCCCTGTAGGAAATCAGTGCACTGGATCTCTGCCCTTGTTTCCCAAGGAACACAAAGAGGATGAAGTCCTTGAAAATGCCTTCATCCTGAGAGCTGTAACTCCTCCAACGGGAGTAAAACAAGCCAGTGACAAGCATGAGGACACCCTGACTGGAAACCAAAGCCACGTAAGAGCTCACAGAGCACCACATTTGCATCCCGGAGCACAGCAGGACCAACTGATGGTGTCACGGTCCAGCACGCTGCCATCACTCCCACCTGCATCCCAGCTAATCCTGACACTACAGCAGGAGTCCTGGTTAACCACACCTCCTATGAGAGGACAGTGATCGCTGCCCTGCTGAGCGTGGCTGGAGAAGCTTCCCATGAACTGAACAGAGATGTTCAGACTCCAGCATGGGTCCTCTGCTGAGGACACAGCAATGTGTCACCTCGCAGGGAGAGGCCACTGCTGGTAAAATCCCCCCTGTCCTCACTTAGCATTGAGATGATGAGCATGGCAACCAAAGGAAACCCAGACTACATCTGAAATTCACCTCATCTTTAAACTCTGCAGAGATGAAATAAAGACTTCAGGAGCCGCCTTATCCATGTAGGAAGAGGTATAAATCACACGGAAACATAAATAGAATGGATTTTTTTGTCTCTAGAATTGAATGTCATTTGCATTTAAGATGAAAGTTCATTTATTTTGTGTCTACAATATTTAAGAAGTTAAAGTCTAAAATAACAGACTTAGCAATTTCATCCAGAGTTGCAGTTAGCGCAATGGCTAATCCCATCAAGGGGACATTAATTGGTACCTAGATGCTCTTTTTCATAGCAGCGGTAGGCCATAAAACTTAATCCTTACCTCCTCCTTCCAGCATGTAGCCTTCGTGTTCATCAGTGAAAGTAATGCTATTCATTAAGGATGGGAGTAATTACCCGCGGCTCCAACAAACAGAACGGAACAAGCGTGTGCCAGTGCAAAGTTGGCTTTTGTACCGTATCACAGGACTGCTGTGGGCTGCCAAGTAAAGCATTTCCTTAAGATCAGGATCAGATCTGAAGCCTGCAAAGCACTATAAAAGCACTGGGCACCTGCTGACAAAGTCTTACCCCAAAACCAGTCCTCTGGGGCTATATTGGACTGATCAGATGCCAGTGCTGCAAAAGGGCATCCTCCAGATACTTCTGTCTGAACAGTGCATGCCTGCGGAGGTCAAACCAAGCAACATCTGGGGCTCTGCTGCCTTAGCAGGACCAAAAGCTGCCCTAAACCATCTTCCCAATGGCAAAGTCTCTGCAGAGAATGCAACCAGGTTCAAAGCATGGCAGCTTTGTCTGCAGACAATAGCCCCTGTGGTGTCCTCCACAGGCTGTGGTGATGGAGAGCGATGGAGCAGCTATGGAGGAGGTATCTTCATTGAACAACTCCATCCAGTACCACATTTCCCGTGCTAAGGCTTATTTCTATGAATGTGCTGCGTGGTTTTCCTCTCCATACTTGTTCTTGACACATCCAGAAAACAGGGAACAGGGATAACAGCATTAATAATAGTAATACAACTAATAACAGGATTTGACTTCTCAGTAAACATTTACTCTGCTGCCATTCACGTTCAATAGCATCACGTTTTGTTGCCAAAAGTGAACTCCACAGAAGACTCATCCAGTATCTTTGCTCATCACAGTTAGTCATCCTGATTAACTCAACCATTAACAATCCTTCTACTTTTAACATATAGAGCCAATTAAAAACAATACAGAGAAAAACCTGTATCATCAATGCTTTCAATGCAAGATGTGACCATCCTCCCACGTCCCTGCTTCTGTTTCTAGAAGCTTCCTCACTGTGCCTCCCTCAACAGCATCATCTAGATGATGACCTTCTCTGATATACACCTTAAGGCACACCAGTTAGAAACTGCAGGCTTGTGAAGATATCAACAGCCAAACTCTGAGTCAGACAGGGTTGTTTTATATCAGGAAACCATTTCTCTGTGCCATAATGATCTGGAACAGCCCAAAATACTGAGTATTAAAAACCTCCCAGAGGAGGCAAATGGGAAAATCAGGCAGCCCCACTGCCAGGCCTCACATTGGCAAAGCCACAGCACATCCTGGGCCATCCTGGCTTGTTCCTGTGCCTCCATTTATCAGATCTGCTTCTCAACTCAAATATCTCTATCTCAGGACCATAAACATATCTACAAAGAGAAAATAAAACCTGCTGAGGAAATGCTTCCTGACTGAGGCCGGGAGTTTCCAGGGAGTTTATCAGTTATGTGCTATTTTAAATCACTTTTGTGCACTCAAGAACTGCCCTGAGCTTCGGGGGGCTCTGGAACCCAGGGAGAGTTCTTGTCCCAGGTAAATTTGGGTGCTGTCAGGCTCTGCCTGGGAGCAGCTACCTCCATTCCCCTTATGCCTGGGGTAACGCAGCAAGAAAGAGTTATTTAACCAAGGGAAAAACAAAAGGCAAACCAAATCCTTCTCATTTTGAGGGCAGAGGGGAGAAAAACACAAGAGAAAACCCCAGCAGGGTCCCGGAGCTAGAAATGAGGTGCACTGACAGCAAAATAACCTCTAAGGGAACCACTCCGATCACGAGAGCACAGACTCCTCTGAAGCATCACTTTAATACCCTACGGATAAAGACCAAGGCTGGTATTTCCCATCCATTCTGGGAAACCAGCTACAGCTCACGTGTGGTGTTCCCAATGTGACCAGAGAGAGCAGCTCTTCTCCTCCTACCAATACAGGAAGCCAGACCTTGTCCAGAGCAGCCTAAGCAGGAATGTCCTCTGGAAGCTGCGCTGTACCAAAGACAGGTATTTAGTTTAAGCAGCTAACAATAGTATTGCTCACATTTCCACTGAGTAGCGTGATAATTCCTGTGTTGATGGCTCTGAACTCTATACCAGACTTGAAAAAGAAATTAGAAACAATCTTCATGAACTCCTCAGTGCGCCGAGCAATTGAAACCTCCTCGTAACGACGCAGGACCAAAGCGAGAATATTAAAATTGCCATTAAGTGGAATGCACACAAAATGCTAAAAAGTCTTTTGGCAAATTATTTCTCGATATAATGACAAGCTATAGACTTAAATCTTGGTACAAGGTATGAAAAAA